CCGTTTTATTTCTGTGGAACATTTGGCATCAGATGTTATCATATATCCTAGAAATATATGTGAGGCAGCGTGGTGGAATCAGGCTCTCGTCAAAATAATCAAAGTGAAGAAACTTGCTTTTTTCTGTTGGTTAGTGAATTTTTATCAAATTTTTGTTTTTTTGGCTCATCACCTTTCATGCCCATTTAAGAACTCATTTCTGTGTAGATTTTTCTGAAAAACGTTGATTAAAGGCACAAAAAAGTAAATTTTCAGTTACCACGGACTCTTAAGCTAAGGAAATAACTAATCTTTGGCTGCCATTTTCTCGATAATTTTACCTCTGAAAACAGGTGTCCCCCGCCTCCTTCATTCTTAAATATCTCGACTTTTATTCAAGATAAATGGAATTTTTTTCATCCAAATAAACACAAGTGAACAAGCTTTACGATGAGACCTATAACTCTACAGGCCCAAAAATTGACGAGAGCCTGATTCCACCACACTGCCTCACATATAGAACCCAATATAACCAGTGAGTGAGCTGATGTAGATCTAACGACAATACATAATGCAAACCAATTTGAAAAAGAAAAAAAAAGAAGAAAAAGAACAATTGGAAAGAAGCCCAGCCTCATTCGGAAGTTCAAATACAGGCTGGTTACTATTAAGTTTGATTCGTTAGAGAAGGTAGACAGCTTGTATACATTCTTTAACGTTAGAGAACGTAGACAGCTTGTATACATTCTTTAACGTTAGAGAACGTAGACAGTTCCAAGAATATATAACTCCGGCATAGGTTAAAAATAACCCCACATCCAGCAAACATCCACTTGACGACACCAGCAAGAAGAAGAAGAAGAAGAAGAAGAAGAAGAAGAAGAAGAAGAAGAAGAAGAAGAAGAAGAAGAAGAAGAAGAAGAAGAAGAAGAAGAAGAAGAAGAAGAAGAAGAAGAAGAAGAAGAAGAAGAAGAAGAAGAAGAAGAAGAAGAAGAAGAAGAAGAAGGAGGAGGAGGAGGGGGGAGGAGGAGGAGGAGGGGGAGGAGGAGGAGGAGGAGGAGGAGGGAGTATTTCCATGCTGTTAATTTAGGTGTTGACGACATAATATCATACCATTATGGTAATTATTGATTTTCTTTCTAAGCGAAAAGGGGAGGGGGACAGCAGCAGAGAGAACAACATCACCAACAAAGAACAGCAAAAACAACAAAAACGACGACGACAACGATAAGAACATTACTACACCACCAACGAAAAAATAACCAAATAATTATCAACAATATCAATAACAACAACAACAACAACAACAACAACAACAACAACAACAACAGCAGGAACAACAACAACAACAACAACAACAACTACAACAACAACATCAACAGAAGCAAAGCTGTAAATAGAATACAGTTTTCCAAGTCACACATTTTATTACTGTACTCTCAAACCTTATATATAAATAAAATGTATATATATTTCAAACCATTTATTAGTATACTTTCAAAAATGTTTCATTTCAATCTATCAAAAAAAAAGAAAAAAAAAGAAAGGAAAAACGAACTAAACAACCACAGTGTATTACTATATTTTCAATCCTATAATTTTTAAATCTAACAAAGAACTGGGCGTATCAAGCCCATTATGTAACAACCGACGTTGATATACTACCTACAGCCTTAGACATCTACTGACTATGGCTGGGCAATGAGTCGCTTTAGCAGAATCCGGATAATATTATTATGTTAGTGCAGCTCTTCGGCAATTAAATGTGTTATGAACTGCTTCGGCAAATGGGTTAGACCCACTTCGACAAACGAGTTAGAACCACCTCAACGAATAGGTGCATCCACTTCGGCAAACGGGCTAGGAAAGCATGGAGAATTATCCGGATATCCGGATAGATTATCCGGATTTTGCCCACCACTACTTCTGACCAGCATCTGAACATGCGATATGCGATAATGTCTGGTCCCGCCTCTCTCATTGGGATTACTTTGTGGTTTAAAAAAAAGCTTTTTAAAGAAATACAATAAAAAATAAAACCTTAAAATTTGTGTCAGGACATGGTGGAATCAGGTGTTCGTCAACTTTTGGACATACGGAGTTATTGGCATAATCTAAAAGCTTGTTTTGGTGGAAAAAATACCCACCTATCTTTAACTGAAATATAGATAGTTATGTAGGATCGCCGGGTTTCAGAGGTCAGAAAGTGGCCGCCAAAGTTTGGTGATTTCCAAAGTTTGGTGAGACCTTAGAAAAAGAAAATTTACAATTTATTGTTCCTTTGATCAACGTTTTTCAGTGAAATTCATAGAAAAATGTATTTTTAAAAGAACATAAAATGCGTTCGGTTAAAAAAATGAAAATAATAAAAATAATAAAAATGAAGAATAAAGAAAAAGATCTTATAAACATTTCGGGTTTCTTCGCTTTCATTTTTGGACGAGCGCCTGACTTCACTACGACACGACAGCTGATGTGGTGCTGGGATGTGTGTGACACAAACGGAACTATAATAATTGTCAAGAAAAGATGTGGAACGTCCTGCTGTAACAGCAGAAGTTGGTACCCCTTCATCTGTCTATATATATTTTGGTGACAATTCGTCACTTTGATTGCTTAAAACTTCCAAACCACTTAACTTTCGAATTGGATAAAATTAATTGTGGTTCAGAATAATTTAAAGGGTGCACAGTTACGTCAAGGAGTTTGAAGTCACTGTTGTTTATTTTTCAGTCTTTAATTAGCTTCGTTTAGATCTAATCTTGTGATGCCATTGTAAACAAGTGAGGCTTCCGTTCACAAGCAGTGAGCACTGCCCCCACAATGACTTGGTGATCGATTATTTTGAGTTTGTTCATCCAACGGGGAACCCAGCTAGTATATTATATGAGAGGCATCGTGGTGAAATCAGGCGCTCGTCAAAATACCCATAGTGAAGAAACAGGCATTTTTCCGCAGGTTTGTGAATTTTTATCGAATTTTTGTTTTGGGGTTCAAAACCTTTCCTGCCCATTAAAGAGCACATTTCTGTGTGTATTTTTACAGAAATTTTTTTTAAGGCACAAAAAATGTACATTTTCAGTTTCCATGGACTCTCAAGCTAAGGACATAACTCATCTTTGGCGGCCACTTTCTCACTAATTTTACCTCTGAAACCAGGTGACCTCACCTCCT